CCCCCCCAACAACCCTATAAGGTAGCACAGTTTGAAAGAAAGATACAGGGCCAGACTCACAGTGAACTCCATGGTTCAATAATGGCCAGAATCCAGAGCTCCCAAGTCCCTGTCCAGTTTGCTAACCCCTGAGGAAGTCATAGACCAAGTCTATGAAAGCTTGTGCTACAACTTCTTTCACATGTATGGTCTCAAAGATGCTACAAGATCTTTTTGCATACTAAACTAAATAAATGTCCTTGACAATCAGACTTTCTCTTCTACAGCTTCCCATGATGTATTTTAGATATATTTCATTTTAGATTTATTTTAGATATATTTTTCTAAATACCCACACAGATGGAAGCTACAATCCTTCACACACACATACACACACACACACTTCCTCGGGTGCAAATGTCATAGAACTCCATTGGATTTACTTCTGAGAAAGCCAGCATGGCGAAGTGGGTTGAACACTGGACTACTACTCTGGAGACCAGGGTTCAAATCCTTCCTTGGCCATGAAACCTTTGGGCAAGTCACACACTCTCAGCTTCATGGGAACCTCCTCTGAACACATCTTGCCAAGAAAACCCTATAAGTTGGAAATGACTTAAAGGCACACAACAACAACAAAACCCATCTAAAGAGTGGCCCTACAAAGAATGAAATGTCAGACAACATTCACACCAACATTATACCTGTAAAATTATACCCTTAAAATAAAGCACAAAATTCATTTAAATACTTTATGCTATTGCACATTTTTGTTACAGGTGTAATTTTGGGTGCGAATTTTGTTCCAAGCACATATTGTCTTCCTTTTGGGGCCCTCTTCTTCTCTGTGTTTTACTTTTGGGGAACCCTCCACCTTTCTCTTATGACTGTGAGGAATAAAGCATTCAAACCTTCCTTACCATGTTCCAACTGATGGTTCTCATCTCTTCCTTTTGCTTGATTTCACTTCCAGCAGAAGACAATGGCCACAAATCACCTCCTTGCTTTTCTTCTCCAGCACTACCACCACCACTCTGCTGGAGCCATCATCTCTTGAGCGTCTTCAAATGAAGCATTTGCTGGTCCAGAAGTTCAGCTGTTGCCATGCTGTGTCTCTCCATGGCTTCCCACCACCACCACCACCATCTTTTCGTAATGCCAACCAGATGTTCCCTCTTCAAGATGATGCCACCCCAAACATCACCAGTGCAGAGCAGGGTCATTTGCTCAGCCAGATGAGCCTCTTGCTCCCCATTGCAAGAGTGGGGCTAAATTCTCCCATCCCCAGAGTGTGGGCTTTGTTGCTACACTCTTTTCCAGATGGCCCAAGGAGTGTGCTAGAACTATTTCCTTGGCAGATTGGCTCTGAAATGCGTGCTGGTGGAGACGGCATCAGGGCTCAAGGCGCGTTAGCAGCCAGCAAACTTTGTAGTTGCTGAATGCTCAAAGTGTGCCAGCTCTGGCAGGCTTATGGGGAGGGAAGGGGAAGGGGGGAGTAGAGGGGAGGTCTGCTCACTTGTGGAAGCGCTTTTCACAATAAAAGCCCTTCTCTTGCAAAGTTAAAAGCTGAGGTGAGTGGTTCAAGACTGAAGTTCTCATGTTGGACATGTCCGAGCCAGGCTCTTTTCCTGCTGGGAGGGTAAAAGCAGACTAGAAGCAGATTAGGATATTCAGTCATTCATCAGAGAATGCAAGGCCTGATAAAATGCAGAAGGCTTCTGGAAGACAACTAGATGAGGGAGAAGGCAGTGTGGTGTAATGGTTAGAGTGCCAACCCTCGACCCACTGAGCCAAATACTGACCCAGACATGCCATGGGCAATCCAACAGCAAACACATACACACACCTTTTTTTCTCTTTGCCTAACCAAAGATGAAGATTCAGTGGAGAGCAGAAAGAACCAAAGGTACTGGCCCTAAGCTCCCTGGAGGAAGTCTGGGATCAAATGCATTACATAAAACCAGGTAAAGTTATGGTGACAATTGGGGTTGCCATATTCCAGTCCCCCATATCTGGCCATCTAATTTTCATATTATGCAAATTGTTATAATTATGCATATTATTAATTTGCAGTCTGATTATGCAAATCCAATACATTAATCATTGCACTTTTGCTACCATTATGTTTCAACTCTGTGTATTTTGTGCATTTTGATTGGTCGAATAAAGGTATCACTGTTTTGTGGATTTTGGATGTTATTGTACTTTACAAGTATGTTTTCTCCATAGTACAGTGGGGCCT